TAAAATCCCCGGTGAGGATCCAGGGAATGTTAATCCATTTGCTCTGATTGATCAGGTTATCCCAAAGACTCTGCTGCTGGCTGTACTGGGGAGATGCATAAACGGCAGTCAATATCCATGATGGGCCAGAACCTCGAGAGACTTGGAGCGAGATGTGCTGGTTGCAGGCGGAGAGCAGCTGAACCGAGAAGGCCCCTGCATCCCAGAAGACCCAGATCCCCCCTCTCCGTCCCTCCGCATCCACTCTGATCGAGTTAGGATATCCAAGTCTATCGCACACGGAATCCGCAGCTCTTCCGCTAATCTGGGGCTCAAGAAGGATTACAAAATCTGGCCGTTGAACCTGGATAGTCAACTTCAAAGCTCGACGAAAGGAGTTGCTACCTGCTCCACCAACATTCCAAGAGAAGATTTTAAATTCAAGATTAAAATTGTGAGACATCGATAAAGATATAAAACAGGAAGAAAAGGAAGAGAAGGGAGGAAGGCTCTATTGGTTGTTATCCGCCGAAGCCGCCGTCGCATCCTGGCGGGTTGGGGAGGGAAGCTCGCTGGCTGACACCGCTGGGTTCCCAGCACCAAACTCCCTGGTTTTCTGATTTTTAGCTTCCGTCCACGCCGATATCTCTTGCAGCGTCAGAGTAGCCATTCTGCTTTTGGATTTTGGCTTCCTGTCTTTAACTGGCGACCAAACTTGAAGAGGCTTTCTTGATTTGAGCTTTGAAGGGGAAGGTTTAGGCTGCCTGTTCTTGTCAATTTTATTCTTCTTGGTCCGCGACCTGGCCGATGGAGAAAGCGCTTCCGCTTCGTTCTTGGAGGAGGAGCTTCTCGGTCTCACCTCAATAATTTGCAGAGAGGTGCCATTAGGGCCCTGTCTCACGTGGACCAAGGGGGAGGAAGAGCCTGGGCCCGACACCAGCGTCTGAGCAGGGGAGCCCGGGTCCCTTTTGGGGCTTTCGGGGTTGGGCTCGTCCCGGCCCAATAAACCCATGTCCCGATCCGAAGCGGAGCCTGGAGTGTTGATAGGAGCTGCCGAAGGCCCAGTCCCGGGTCTGGTTTTAACAGCGGGCCCAGGACCAAGGAGGCCTTTCTCTAAAGCGGGCTCGGAGCCCATTTTCTCTTTCCCTTTGCGAGAGTCACCACCTGTCTTGTTTCCGCTCCTTCCTTTCTTTTCTTGGCCGCCGCTCCTGTCGTTCCTGGAGATGATGACGGCATCCTTATTAGGTAAGTTATCTCCGCCCTTGATCATCGCCACTTCCTTCCCTGTTTTAATGCATCTTATTAATATTAATATTATTGGCAACACTTTTATGTGCCTAAGTCTAACCGAATTCTTTTATTTATTCCTGATTTTTGGGATTTTTTTTATTGTATTTACTTTATAAGGTAATTTGGGTATACGATTATCCTCATTTGTAATCATTTATTTTATTTAATTTTAAATATATAATATTAAATTCGGTTTGTTGTGAGACTATCCTTCCTGTTGAAATACCTTTTACTTTTACTGTATCTATCGAGATGTCAAATCATGGTTATTAATATTAGAACTTTTTAGTTACCTTCATTATTTAAAGGGTTATAGGTATAATACAAATAACAATATTCCAGCAATTACAAGTACAAAATGATCTTTCAATACCTCAAATGTTCCAAGCTAATTTATGTTGGGAGCACTTTCTTTATCGACTTTTTCTGCCTCAATAGCAGCAGATTAGAAAACTTAGGCAGGCAGCACTGTGCTGAGGGTTAGCCTATATTTGGCCCGCATTTTAGAAGTGCTTTTTTGTTTCAAAAGCTGAAATGGGGCCAAACACCTATAAAAGTTCGGCTTTTGAATAGTCGAAAATCACTTTTGTAATAACACAAAAGTAGAAGCTCCGATTTGGAACTTCTGTAAAAAGTTGTTTTGAAAATACAAGATTATCCTTATCATATTTTAATTTTATTTCAGAAAATATAATTTTATTTCATTTATATCATTTTAAAAATAAAATAAATTATAAAATCATATTATTTAATATGAAAGAAATATAACAAAATTCATTTTGACTACTTTTTATTATTTAGATTTTTTTATTATAAGTCTTTTATAGTCATTTTACAAAACCTCTCATATTAAAAAACACTTCTAATAGTTTTTCAGCCAAACACTCCACTGGTTTTTTTTTTTGGAAAGTATTTCTCTAAAATTCAAGTCAGAAGCTGCTTCTGCAAAAGCCACAACAAGACCAAAACTAGCCCTTAATTAGATTACATCATCATAAAACAACAAAATTATGTTCATGAATAAGTAATGTGTGTTTGTCATTGATTTACTGAAATGGAAGCCAACACTTTCTTTAGGAACATATAACGAAACTCTATGTTGGATCACAGTACATAGCCAAGCAGTAAGTTTTCAATCTGATAAACAGACTTTTAAGGGGACGAACGTGATTCACAAGAATCTGTGTTCCCGGAAACTGCAGAGTAACAATAACAAATAAATCACTCACAAAACGGGGATCCTTATCCTTTATTTGATGGTAAGGGTTGTCCTATAGCCAAGCAAACAGGCTTGTAATGTTACATCACAAAGCTTAATTGCACAGCTTCCATAACTATATTTAACAAAATAGAAACAGGAAACCACAAAGTGCCTAAATGATCAGCCTTGTTCACATTATGTGAAATCAGCACACATCCAGATTCCTGAAACAAAGGCTAGTACATATACTCCGCTTTTGAATAACACCCAACATACATAGATGCATGGCGGCCATCATATTGGCTAATAAGAGGAAGCACCAAAGCTAAATAGAGATCTGGTTTTCCAAGTTCCAGACTGGCTCGCAGAAGGGAGAGTCAGATGATGCAACCTGGCTAGTAGTTTACCATTAGATCAATCAATTCTTGGCTTATCTGCAAAGTCATATAAGATCAAAGAAATCAAGTTTCAATTTTTATCGACTGCATACCAAGTAAAACAACCAGTCAGTTCTTACCTCTGGAAATCCAGAATTGACCCAGTCACCGAAATTAGTTCTAGTAAGGAAGGAGTTCTCAAGAAGCTTCTCGTTCTCAGCTTCAAGACTTGGTGGAGCTGAATTATAAAGCTCCCCCTCGTAAGGAGTCGGTTGTTCTACTTGTACCGTCTGGTGCGGGTGGATTCCACTAACGGAGTCCACTAAATTGTCCAGTTTATCATTCTCGAAAATTGAATGACTTTCCAAATCTTTCGATGGCATCACTAGAGATGAGCACCCATCGTCTTTAAGTGGTGATACATGACTTCTCAAATCATAAGCCACTAGGCAATTCGCCTCGCTATATTCACGACCAACTTGATAATCGTCGATTTTCAATGGAGGTGTAATGGGAGTTAAGAAATCAGAAATCTTCATACAGTTTGCTTCACTGTACTCACATGATGGTGACGTTTGATTTCCAAAATCAGAAATCACTAGGCGATTCGCCTCACTACTATCACAAGTAGTCTGCACTATGCTCGAACACCCATTATCTCCCAATAGAGGTGGCCTTTGATTTTCACAATCAAAAGCATTAGGCAGAGTTGCCTTGAAACTAGGGTTGGATTTTCCAACATCAGAAATAGGGTGACACTGCTCACGGCTGGAATGCATGGTCACACGATGATCTAGCTTGTCATGATTTTTATTAATCCGTTTATCTCTCTTCCTTTTCAATTTGCAAAGTGTGAAATTTTCCTGCAAATGATACACAATTACCAACCTAACTTATGCTGCATGTATAACGAATGAAGAACCAAATCACACCACCAGATAATCATATCAAACTTCTACTATTATGTCTTGATAACAAATAAAGGACACAAAGCAATTGAAACATGTACCATAATGTAAGTGAAATTAACAACAATAGAACATCGCAAAAGGATTGCCAACACTACACCATCAAGTATTTCATGCATGTATTTAAGCAAAAAAGTGATAAATTCAGCATCGACCATGGAAACTAAATTATGATATGTGGAAGTACCAATGAACAGGCAATTTACCATAGATGGTGAGTTTGGATCCGCTATGTACTCATACTCATGCATCACATACTGTGTGATGATTCCTTTAGAAGAACCTTCCTCCTTTTTATAGAAAACCAAAGTTTTTTTCGTACCGATTTTTTTCTTGGTTCTCTTCAACTTTACCTCACGCACCTTGCCCGTAGGTTTCCAATGACCATTTTTCGTAGTCCTATTTGATCTTTTGCTGTTGACATATTTATAATGACGCGGACAATAACAATAAAAAATCCACTCATCAAGTTTATTATCCATCCAACCTGCAAGCAAGGGTGTATACCTTTGTTATGTTCATTTTGGTTTGAAAGAACATCACTAATGCGAAGAGAGAGCATGCCCTACCTAGTAACTCCCAAGGATCAAAAGAATACACTTTGATCTCAGGTATGGAAACAGAACCAGTATTCTCGCCAAGTAATTTATAACGCAAATAGTGGTTCACGAGTTCATCATCGCGAGGATGAAATCTGAATCCCACCACCCGGGCAGTAGCCGTGGACTCAGCGGCTCCCTCCATTACTAGCAAATGAAAAAAGAAAAAAAAAAAAACAGTTTCTCGAATTCAACACAAGCAAAACAGGAGAACAATAAAATTGTGAAGGGAAAGCAAATGGAGTTTTGAAGGGCTCATCACCTGATGTGAAGTTAGGATTCATTCCTCTTCCTAAAACAGGAGAATTGTTGGTCTGGAGAAGCTGGAGCGCTTACGATCGCTTGAGGTTGAGGAATCGGAAGGGAGGGAGAGAAACGGATTGCTGTGTCGATGATCTTTTTCTGGCGTTAGGGGATCAGCTCTGCATCAAGCGTGAGTGCGAAGTCGAAGAGTGAAATGGTGAAGACGAAATGACGAATGGAGCGTCTTTTATTGCGATGACCACACTACTTCTCTAAGAAGTAGTCTGAAATTAGTGGGGGAAAAAAAGAAGTAGAAAACGCGGAATTGAATTGGACTAAAAGGAGCTCGTGGACCCCGGATGCCTGGCCCATTTTAATTTCAGGCGACCCGACCCGGTCCCTTAACAACTCCAAGCACGCTTCAAAACCCTGCACTCCATATCCGCCGTCATCGGTTTCGGGTTCAAGCCTCCTTCACGCCGAAGCTGTCGATTGTTCTCTCTCGCCGCCGGGAACTCTGCTCAAATTTAATTGTGGGAAAATGGCTGGTAAGGGTCCTACAATCATTGTTTGAGTTCTTGTGCTTTAACTGTCTCTGTTACTGGAAATTCAAGTCCTGCTTTTACTTGTGTTCCAGGTGGTAAGAAGAAGAAGGAAGTGAAGAAGGAGACTGGCTTGGGGCTCTCTTTTAAGAAGGATGAAAATTTTGGAGAGTGGTATTCAGAGGTATGTTTTTGGATCTTCTAATTTAGTTATTTTGAGTGCAATTTCAATGCCGTTAAACACCTATGTGCAAGTGGGTCTTCCTCTATTCAACTATGTCCGTAGATGAACTATGGTCTTCAGTTCAATTGAAAAGCAGAAGAGTAGTTACTATCCCATGTTGTCCTTTAGGTGATCTGTTTTCCCCCGTTAAGCTGAGGCTGAAATAACATGGTGCAGCTTCTGCCTTGTCATCCTTCTTATCGAATCTATGTTTTTTCGGCTTCTACAGGTGGTTGTCCATGGTGAGATGATCGAGTACTACGATATTTCTGGCTGTTATATTTTGAGGCCATGGTCTATGGGTATATGGGAAATCATGCAAGTAAGGAAACATTCTCCAAAGTGCTTTCTTCTTTAAGCTTTGTAGATGTGTTACCTTTGTGGTATGCTCCCAGGCTAGATTGCCGAAGTTATACGCCACTCTTCGAGAATTGTCCAGGCCCCTTCATTCCTGTCCTATTTTGTTGAAATTGCCTGGACGATTGATGGACGGTATTGACATGAGTACTCTCTTCTAAAGATGATATGAGCAAACATTTATGTTCTTTCATCAAGTGTTAACTGGGCGGAGAGCTTCCCCACGACTTGTTTTGTTTTTTTGGTTTAGAATTTGCTTCTTTGATTGATCATTTTATTTCCTCAGGCAGCACATTGGTTAAGTGGCTGATGAAATCTTTGATTGTGTTGCCTTGTAGGTATTCTTTGATGCAGAGATCAAGAAGATGAAAATAAAAAACTGCTATTTCCCTCTTTTTGTATCATCTAGTGTTTTAGAAAAAGAGAAGGATCACATTGAGGGCTTTGCTCCTGAGGTGAGTCGTGAATTTTGTTCCTACTATCTGAACTTATAGCTGATCAGTCAAGGATGGGAAAGCTTCACCGTTTTATTTACTTTCCCCCCCATCTCATTATCATACTTTTTAATAAGAATAGCAATAGGTTTATCACAAACATGATAGAAGATTAAGGAGAGAACAGCTCACCTCTTAACACCTATAATGATGTTGATATCGTGTTTCATATATTCGTTATTCTCAGGTTGCGTGGGTCACAAAATCTGGGAAATCTGACTTGGAAATTCCAATTGCCATTCGTCCCACTAGTGAAACTGTGATGTATCCGTACTTCTCCAAGTGGATAAGAGGACACCGTGATCTGCCTCTGAAACTCAACCAGTGGTGTAATGTTGTTCGTTGGGAGTTCAGCAATCCTACTCCATTTATCAGGTGCTCTGATTTTTCATGTTCGTCTCGTGGGCTTTTTTTAATCAGTTTCTTTTCGATCCATTTTTCCTTAATTTTGGTGTTTTGTGACAATGCTTTGAACGACATCCTTCAACCATAGGAGCCGTGAGTTCCTTTGGCAAGAAGGGCATACTGCTTTTGCAACAAAGGAGGAAGCAGATGAAGAGGTGCAAACATTAATTTCAAGTTGCTTGATTACATATCAAATATTTAACCGTAACCTCCCTGACTATGTTTTTTCTTTTCTTTCATGATGCTCTATTTGATTCATTGTACGTTCCTTTAATTTGAGTCTATTCTTTAATATCATATATGTTGATTTTGGGGTTTGGTGTTGAGATCTAAGTAGTCAACCCATTTATGTTTCTGATAGCTGAATATGGTGGGGCATCTCATTGTTTAATCGTTGTTTAAAATGAGAGATTAATGTTCTATTGGCAAGTCTGATCCCAATCAATCGGAGTACTTTCCTGAGAATTGAGATGGATATGTAGTCATAGGATCTTGCTTGAACAAATTACTGAATGGCTAAGTAGTGATTACCCTTGTAGTTGCTAGCATGCCTCAATAAGATATGCACTAGTTACTTTATCTGAGTATGTAGTCTGGCTTGTCAAGAACCTACTGTGTTTTCCTGGAAGTAGACCTTTGATTCTTTCCACGTGAAGAAACCTGCTTAGGATCTTATTATTTCAGGTCCTTCAAGTATTGGAGCTGTACAGACGCATTTATGAAGAATTTTTGGCAATCCCTGTCATAAAGGGCAAAAAAAGTGAGATGGAGAAGTTTGCTGGTGGGCTTTACACAACTAGTGTCGAGGTAAACAAGGGACATTACTTGTCATCATTTGCCTGAGACAACGCTGTTCATATGTGGTTTACCTGTTGCTTTAGTGTACTGAAAATCTTTAACTTCCAATGTATATCAGGCATTTATTCCTAACACTGGACGTGGTGTACAAGGTGCAACTTCACATTGCTTAGGACAGAACTTTGCAAAAATGTTTGAGATTAACTTTGAAAATGAGAAGGGTGAGAAGGGTATGGTCTGGCAGAACTCTTGGGCTTACAGTACTCGGACGGTAAACTCTTTTGGTTGTTATCATACTTATTTGCATGTTATCTTTGACTTCTTGGTAGTGAAGTTACTTACAATGATGTTCTATTTTGTCCTTGCCATCTTCATTTCTCTCTTTTGGCTGCTTTCAATCCTAAAATTTACTGTTACCTGCTTAATTCCTGCGTCATTTCTACAAATGGCATTCGTTTACTGCTAAATGTGGTCTGTTGTGCATTTGAAACTCATTTTAGAGCTTTATGTCTATAGATTGGAGTGATGGTAATGGTTCATGGAGATGATAAAGGATTGGTTCTGCCACCTAAAGTGGCATCAGTTCAAGTTGTTGTGGTTCCTGTACCTTACAAGGATGCTGATACTCAAGGAATTCTTGATGCTTGTACTGCGACTGTGGAGACCTTGTCTGAGGCCGGTATCCGTGCCGAGAGTGACCTTAGAGACAATTACTCGCCTGGATGGAAGTACTCGCAATGGGAAATGAAGGGTGTTCCTCTTAGGATTGAGATAGGGCCAAAGGACCTGGCAAATAATCAGGTGAGGGACCGTATTTTAGTTGTATGTATATATGTGCATTTATATTAGAGTGTTGTGCACTGAACATATTTTGTTTGATTGTAGGTCCGTTGTGTTCGTCGTGACAATGGTTCAAAATCGGATATAAAGAGGGACAATTTGGTTGAGCAAGTTAAGACCTTGCTGGATAACATTCAGCAGAGCCTGCTCGATGCTGCTAAACAAAAGAGGGATGCCTCTGTTCAAGTTGTCAAGACGTGGGATGAATTCAAAGATGCTCTCGCCCAAAAGAAAATGATCTTAGCTCCTTGGTGTGATGAGGAGGTACAAGACATTTGATGGAGACCTTTTTTTTATCGCTCGCGTGTAACTCTGAATAGAGAAGATTGGCTTGTATGGCGTTCTTGTTTTCTTTTGGTTTTCTTGCATATCATTATTTGCTGTATTTATCCGCAGGAAGTGGAAAAGGATGTTAAAGAGCGGACAAGGGGCGAAATGGGGGCAGCTAAGAGTCTTTGTTCCCCACTCGAGCAGCCAGAACTCCCTGAAGGTCTGTGGCTCTTTCCATGTCGTCGATTCAGAACAGCCCTGCTTTTAAAATATCAATGGATATGGATTGCTGTAATTTTGGCCATAGAAAAGCAATTAGCAGCATCACTAGGCAGAAATTAGAAAGTAATCATGGTTCTTAGCTCCCCCTCCGTAATTACATTTGTTTGGACTTGTGCAGGGACTATATGCTTTGCCTCAGGTAAGCCGGCGAAGAAGTGGACTTATTGGGGCAGGAGTTACTAGGGCTATTTATTTACTGTGAGGTGCTCTTCAAATTCGGGCGTATGCTTCAGTGTCTTGTTTTAACTTAGCAGTTACTGTAATTGCTGTCTAAAACTGGCATTGTGGGGTTTTAAACTAAACAGCACTGTGTTGGTCCAAGATGTTTGCTACTTCTGATTATTCTGGATATGCATGTTCTCACATACATTCTTTCTTTTGTTAGAGGTTGGATTCGAGGATCCGTTTTTGTGTCTAAACAAGCAGACCCTCATAAACAATGTTTGCTTTTAGCTTCTTAGAGTTGCATCATTCAAGCTGTTCACTCTATTGGTTTTTTTTTTTTTTTTTTTTTTTTTTTTTTTTTTTTTTGCGAAGAGAAGCTTATTGGGCTTGAAGCTTTGAACTAATAAGTACTGTGGTCAGATGTATCGGGAGGATAAAATTTGCATCCAATCTCAATTATTTTGGAACTAAGTGAGTTCCACATATCCTTTTCGCCTTTTAACATAATTTCCAACACAAGTGTATTTGCAAACATAATAGCATGTGATTTAAATAGCTCGCAATGGAGACAAATAAATCTACACGTTCTCGTGAAAATTACTTGTAATCTTCCCAGACGAAGAAACTTACATAGTTGTTACAACTAAAATTTATTTTAGGACTTTGCTACGGTGACATGCATGTCACGGTGACATGCACTTTTCGGTCGACCTCATATAGGATCGGGTCGACCTAATCTGTTGTTTCAGGGTAAAAACAGTTTCATGGTGCCTACTTTGGAGATTTATATCTTACAATTGGCTAGATGAAAATTGGAGATTAAAGGCTTGTTTTGAAGCTCAAGTGTCCCTCTACACATTAAAGTACTTGGGAGCTCAATAGAAAGTCCAGAAGACCATTTTTGAACCTGGCCAAAAGGCTATGCCAAAACTGGGAAACTGCCTGAAAATGGCTAAGTCTGGCAACGTGTTTGTCAAGCCTACTTTGGAGCTCAATTTGAGAAGCATGGATGCGAGTCAAGTCCAGGGGCCTCTACCACGTTAAATTACGTATTTTTTTATACAAAGGCAAGGCATTGAATGAAAGATTGAATATCTTTAAGGCTTCAAACAAAAGGCTCGAAGTTGCTATGAAGGCTTTTTCTGGCAGCTTGCTTGTGCTCGATGTCTGCCAGAAAAACAGCCCTCGTAGCAAATTCGACCCTTTTGTTTGAAGCCTTAAAGATATCCAATCTTTCATCCAATTCCTTGAATTTGTATAAAAACATACCTAATTTAACGTGGTAGAGGCTCCTGGACTCGAATCGCATTCATGCTTCTCGAATTGAGCTCAAAAATAGGCTTCACAAACACGTTTCCAGACTTAGCCATTTCTAGGCAGTTTCCCAGTTTTGGCATAGCCTTTTGATGAGGTTCAAAAATGGTCTTCTGGACTTCCTATCGAGCTCTCAATCACTTCAATATGTAGAGGGACACTCCAGCTTCAAAACAAGTCATTAGTCTTCAATTTCCATCTAGCCAATTGTATGATATGAATATCCAAAGTAGACACCATGAACTGTTTTTACACTGAAACAACATATTAGGTCGACCGGATCCTATATGAGGTCGACCGGATCCTAAATGAGGTCGATCGGATCCTATATGAGGTCGACCGAATTCTAAATGAGGTCGACCGAATTCTAAATGAGGTCGACCTAATCCTAACTGAGGTCGACCGGAAAGTGCAAGTCAACATGACATGCATGTCACCGTAGGCACACCCTTTATTTTATTATGAATTTTCTTACTAGGTAATTCTAAGCATGATTCCGGCTAATTATCATAAATGATCACAAAACTATTCACTTTGTATAAAACGGTCACAAACCTTTAATTTTGCACGTTCAGTAACAAACGTTTGGACTAATAACAAAAAGGTAATTTCATCCATCTCCATCCAAAATTCTGTTAGTTTGGTCTAGTCAGCAATCCAGTCAGCATTCACATCATCAAAATAATCAATAAAAAATAAAATAGAAACCACTTAAACCCTAACGAACCCACCACCCCAATCGAACCCAACCCGTTCCTCTCTATCTCTTCTCCCTCCCCGCCCCCATCTCCGCACCGCCCATCTGGAAAAAAAAAACCCCCCAAATCCAAATTCATTCGATATTTGGATTGCAAACCATTTTAAAAAAGCCCTTTCATTGTATCCGACTATGAGTCGCTTCTTTGATTTCCAGTCCTCGCTGGTATCCAGGGTGCAAATGTCTATTTTTGATCAATACAAGATATCTTTTGACAAAAAAAAACCATTTTAAAAAAGTAATCAGTTAAGAGAGAAGGATCTCTCTCTCCTCCCCCTTTCCCTAACCACGATCCATCTCCAGAACCTCTGCTGCTGCCGCTTTGCTCCTTCTGAGGTTCAAAGATGATTTTATAGCGTGCCTCTCAGTTCTTCCAGTGCTCGGACTGGTTGAAAAAACAACAAAGCAAGGTACCAAATTCGTTGAAAAAGAAATTGGTTAATTATGATCCAGAACCGCCACTCTTTGATTACATAACTGGTTTGGTAATCATAACTAAGCACCTAGAGATCAATGGGGGACAGAGTACTGGAAGAAAAGTGAACCTGCTTTGCTTGATTGTTTCTTAAAAAAAAGATACCTTACTAGCGTGGCAGGAAGCTTTCTACCGAGGAGAGGAAGGAAGAGGAGAGGAGACCTCTTGATGAACCGCCATTTTTGTATGAATGTAGCTCTAAATGTAAAATGGTAAGATAAAATATTAGCAAGATATAATTTTTCCCAAACCCAGAGGAACGCCAGATGCTCTGTTTTGAATAGTCCTCTGTTTCCGGATCTGCTGTTTTCGTTTCCGGCCAATGTTCAAACAGTAGGAATCAGGTGGGCGGTGAGGAGATGGTGGCGGATAGGGTGCGGAGATAGAGAGGAATGGGTTGGGTTCGATTGGATTGGGTGGTGGGTTGGTTAGGGTTTAATTGATTTTTATTTTATTTTTTATTGATTATTTTGATGATGTGGATGCAGACGGGATGGCTGATTGGACAAAACTAACAAAATTTTGGATGGAAATGGACAGAATTACCTTTTTATTATTAGTCAAACATATGTTATTGAAACGTACAAAATTAAAGATTTGTGACCGTTTTGTACTAAGTAAATAGTTTTGTGACCATTTATGATAACTACCCTCATGAGTCCATATTGAATCAAGGTAGCTAACCTTCTCAACCTTTGAGTGCACAAGTATTTATAAATAAAAGCAGTATGCAAACCCAACACTCGAGATTATGGGGTCATACGAATACTGAAGCTTAGACATTCATGGTTGTAAAGTCGTTATCAAACCGATCAGTTGGACTAGATTCAATTGGAGCAGCCTCCTATATCACTGCCACAAAACCGAATTTCTAAAGAGGTGGGACTCTATCAAACCACAAAATTGGTGGATCTCCACAAACTGACCGAGTACTAGCCAAGACACAAAATGGATTATGGAGAAATTGAATAATCAAAAATGATAAAGGTCACCTTGGTCACCTAGTGACACTGTATGAGAGAGGGCGAGAGAGCGACATGAGAAGAATGCGGAAGGGGAGGGGAGACAAAGATATTGAGATAGAGAGCATATCTTGTTTTAGAATTTTGTTTCCTATTTACCACAACTGTGGAACCATCATTCTCTAAGAAAAAAATCGCAGAATAAACTAGTTATTAAAAAAATTCACAAAATACAGTACTTATGAAAATATTTCCCAAAATACAGCAGTTTGATCATCACCGCTGTCAACAAAGACAGTGAACATCATCACCGCTGCAAAGAAAAACGGTGAATGTATCACCGTTTTGGACAAAAGCGTGGAAACTATCATCACGTTGGAGAAAAATGGGGAACGTCGGATCGCGCTTCACCGCAACGGACGGCCACGATGATAGCGCGATTGACCAGGATTGATGACGTGGAAGTACGCGTCACCTAACTTCCACCATTTTGGAGGAAAGCGGGGAATACCCCGCGTTCCACGTCATCAATCCTAACTTCCAAGAGGTGAAAGCTAGGTCGCTGTCACCTAACTTCCAACCTACCAGGGTTGTAAAACATGGTAAAAATCCCCGTTTTGAACGACAACGGTGATGTATTCACCGTTTTTCACAGAAGCGGTGAAGGTTTCACCGTTTATGAGGGATGCTGTGATAGTTCACCGTTTTACATTAGGTGGTGAATATCATCATCGTTATCCACTAACGCGGTGATGATGTTCACTGCCTTTGTCGACAGCGGTGATGATCAAACTGTTGTATTTTGGGAAATATTTTCATAAGTACTTGTTTACACCTAAAAAATAATTTTGTACCACATTGATTATTTGCAAGGCATTTATTATCTTTATAAGGCCAGATCATTAATGACAATTAATGCTATTTTGAACTGGGCCTCATGAAAATAATTTTAAGCCCCAAACTACTAAGTCTCCAAGAAGGAGCTAGTCTCGTCGTGAGCTGAAGAGCTCTACGTGGTCATGAGATCTAGACCACGTTGGCTTCAAATCTAGAGCTCTACGTGGTCATGAGATCTAGACCACGTTGGCTTCAAATCTAGAGCTCTACGTGGTCATGAGATCTAGACCACGATGGCTTCAAACTTAGAGCTCTACGTGGTCCTGAGATCTAGACCACGATGGCTTCAAATTTAGAGCTCTACGTGGTCATGGGATCTAGACCACGTTGGCTTCAAACTTAGAGCTCTACGCGGTCGCGAGATTTAGGCCACATCGTGAGACCATGCCCAAGATCCGAGCTAACAAGTAGGAAGCAAGAAGGCAAGTCATGTAGGAGAGACAAGTAACAAGATGACAGTTCCAGGAGGAAAAGCAGGCGGTTAACGGAGAAACTGCCGAGTATCCCACGTGCAATGACACGTCAGCCACGTACGAGAAAGAAGGAGAGCAGTTCTTTTTGGAAGTTACTATCAGGCAGTTTCTACGACGGTTATCATCTCAAGGCCTATAAATAGGAGGAGAAGTTGACAGAGGAGGGTTCGCGAAAATCACCACCTGACATCACCTGTCAAGTTTTATCAATTTTTATCTTTCCTCTGCAACTTTTATCAATAGTCGTAGATTTGGAGCTCTCTCAGAACCTCCATAGGAGTAGGAGTAATTCAATGTAGATCTGTCTCGAGAGTCGTGTAAACATCGAACACCCTCGTTCGAACTGTGTTTGAAGAGGTGTGAACCGTGTCTTAGTGATCGTTGTCCAAAGAAGTCAAGGTGCATTCAATTCGTTTCAACGCAAGTTTTCTCGCCGGAGAACAAATTTGGCACACCTGGTGGGACGCTTGTGGTCGATTCGATGGCTCCGAGGCGGAGGAATCAAGAAGATAATGTTCCGGCTGGATTCGTGGAGGATCAGGTGGCCAACATCGAGCATGGCCA